GGGGGAGCAGTGCCTGGGGGGGACGGGGGCACGGTGACCTCGGATGTCCTGGGGTGCTCTAGCGGGGACAGGGGCACGGGGATCCTGGCTGTCCCGGTGGGCTCAGGGGGAGCAGAGCCCGGGTCCCAGGGAGCTGAAAAAATCCCTTGAGTTGAGTTTTCCCCTCATTTTCCTGCGCCTGGTGAGGCAGAGGTGCTGGGATGTGATGGGGAACACGTCACCTGCCTCTGTCCTTGAGAGCTGCCCTTGGCCCTAACCCTAACCTTAAACCCTAACCCTAACCCTAACCTTAAACCCTAACCCTAACCCTAACCCCAACCCCTAAATCTAAACCCTAAACCCTTAACCCTTAACCCTTAACCCTTAACCCTTAACCCTTAACCCTTAACCCTTAACCCTTAACCCTTAACCCTAAACCCTAAACCCTAACCCTAACCTTAACCCTTAACCCTTAACCCTTAACCCTTAACCCTCAACCCTAACCCTAACCCTAACCCCTAACAGCCTCCCACTGCCAGGATTTCACCCCAAAACAAGAGGGAAACAGCGTTTTAGGAGAAGTGAGGGCTAACGTTTATCCAACCTGTATTTTCCTGATCCGATCCCTGCACACACCCTTGGGAAACAGCCCCAGTTAACAGGTGGTCAAAGCTGTGGCTGTCCAAGAGCATTAAAAGCTCATTTGCCGCTAATTAATTCCCACCAGCTGGCAGATCCTAGCAGGGCTGTGCCACAGCTGCCAGGATGCACTCCTTGTGCAGGATCTGCCTTGGGATCAGTGTTGGGATCAGTGTTGGGATCAGTGTTGGGATCAGTGTTGGGATCAGTGTTGGGATCAGTGTTGGGATCAGTGTTGGGATCAGTGTTGGGATCAGTGTTGGGATCAGTGTTGGGATCAGTGTTGGATCAGCGTTGGGATCAGTGTTAGGATCAGCGTTGGGATCAGCGTTGGGGATCTCCCTGCTGCCCTTCCCAGCTCACCCCACTGCTCTCCCGGCTCTCCCCAGTTGATTTCATCGGCGGCTTTGACTCCTCCGGG